ACCACGTGTCGCAGATCAGTGGGAAGAGTGAGCGTCACGATTAAAGAAAAATCAAATCTTCATCTTTTCTGTTGAAAAGCTCAAGCAACAACACTCTCTCTCTCCCAGCATTAATTGCGCCCCAATCTGCATTTAATGTTCTGATAAGGGTTGTCGTTTCAGTATGTCACACATTTAATGTTCTAAGAAAGTGGTATCGTGTCAGCATACAACGCATTTAATGCGCCTGGTTGGCGTTTATCAAGCACATGACACGTCTGTCAGAGGAGAGATTGCTTCATTAAATGCACCCATACCAAAAGCACAATAGGGGACACCTGACGAAGTCAGGTCGATCATCCTTAGCGAGCAGTGACTATGCGAGGCCGTGTTCGCAAAGAGTGCTACCTCGACCTATTTTCAAACAGGTCGGAATCACCAGAATTTCCAGAAATCATCCAATCGCGGCATGGCTTATAGTTTCCAAGGTTCGATCCTCAAACCTTAAAAACTAGGGGACTTCTGTTATACCTGAAAAATATAGGGCTGACGTAAGGCCCAGTCAGAGTGTAAAAGTCAGAACATGGGTACACCCGCAGCCTGCTTCTATCAGAATAGTGGGTGCGCGTCAGACCAGCAAGAAGCTGTGGTGATCCCACATGTCCAATCCTTGCGCCAAATCGTGCAAATCACTCTAAAAGGTGGACAATGTGACATAAAGAAGGATTTGCACGGATAATCCCACCAACTCACAGATCCACTAATCATTAGCTCAATGCATCCTACTATAAATTGAGAGTTCCTCTCTCATTCAAGGGATTCGCTCATTTTTACTCTTGATTAGCTACTCTCTCTATAATTTATAGCATTCACTCGCTTGTATCATCATCTGTAAGTCAGTCAGCTAATGCGACCTAACCCCTATCATTGATAAAATAACAGTGGACGTAGGACTTACTTCCTTAGCATCCGAACCACTTTAAAAGTTGTTCACATTTGTATTTACTCACATTTTTCTTGCATTCACGTGTGTCTTCTGAGCCAGCTCAGCATTTCACATATGCGTTTCGTTGGTATAAAAATCACGCATCAACAATTTTAAAAATTTTAATAATATTTATTAACTCATAATAGCATAAATTTTAAGAATTTAATAATTGTTCATTAACTATAAAGAAATTTTTGTTATTCGAAACATTGTTGTCCAATCGCGTATCGTATCATGTATCGAAAACTTAATTTTTCGAATCGTGTATCGCGTATTGTATCGTATCATATCGTATCATAGGATACGCTTTTAAAAAATAATAATAATATTTTTTTTTTTTAAATTAATACCATCCCTCTGATTAATTAATTAGGAGTGAATCTTGCTAGGATAAAATTAGGGAAGGATAAATTTAGGTGGGTTCTAGTAAACCAGGCCAGGTGACCCGAATTAGACCTGATTTTTGTTTTTTTTTTTTTTTTTTTTTTGCCCAATTTAATAAAGTTATATCGGTTTATATCGATATTTTTAAGGATACAAATCAACATATATCATATCGTAAGATACATATCAACGTATCAAAAAGTTTAGGATATATTCTCTAATACGTATCGTTGACAACTCATATCGAATCGTATTGTAGGATACATATCGTGGGATACTAATAACTTGGAAAACTTTATAGAGATTTTTGTTAATAAGGACAATTAAGTCATTAACTCAAATATAAATAAGAAAAGATTCAAAATAAATAGTCTTTATTAATACAATAATATTATACTTACAAAGATTTCTATACAAAGAGAGGTAGCAAAAAATGAATGGAAGAGTGAAAGTCAAAGGTGACAAAAAATGAATGAAAAAGTGAAAGTCAAATTCATTAAATTTAGTCTTTTATTCATTTTTTTTTACATCATTTTTTATGAATATCTTTATAAAATTTGTTTGTTTAGTATTTCTCTTATTAATGTTTGGAGGGTTGTTAAAAATAAAAAATACAGCGAGTATATACGAAGACGTACACGAGCCACTAGTATGGAGAAGTGTTATGACGGTAAGAGATAAATACCGTGTAAGTTGTTTGGTTTCAGAGTTTTGGTTCCGGTTTGGTTTTGTTTTGGGAAAGATGTAGAACAACTTATTCACCTAATTTCTGTTACCACCATCACGTAATGCCAAACCAACAATTTCTTTCTCTTTTTATTCAATTTGTTCTGTTCCTTTTTCTCACTCTTTTTGTTTGTTAGTTTGGCGGTTAATTCAGGTGGAAAAATTTAGAGGGAGATCTGATCACCCATCAGAAACAACGTCTTCATCATCATCATGGCCGTTGAATTTCAAGGTATGATTATATATTTATATATATATGGGCGTTCAACTTGATTGCTTGATCTCTTTCTGTTGATTTTGGTGTTTATTTTTCATGCGCATTGGTATTTAGATGAAAAGCTCGAGAATTTTTCACTTCTTTTGGGATTATCTAGCGTTTGTATTGTTATGGGAACATGGGTTTTAATGGGTTCGATTTATTTTGTTTAATATGGTGTTTTGGGGAGTTAATTTATGCGTTTAGAAAAATTGTGGGGTTGGGTTTGAATTTTTTTTTTTTTTTTTTTTTTTCAGTTATTAGAGTTACAATGCTGTAGCTATTAAGCAGTAGAGAGTTATATATATTGAAGATGGGATATTAGTGATTGGCTACCTTTAGATTTTTGGTATTAAACGGAAAGGAATGTTGTTTTGTGCCAGGACAATGTTGCTTTGAATCACTTAGCTTAAATATTAGGCTACGATTAGATTTTCCGTATTAAATGCGAGGGAAAAGGTGGTAGGAGGAGGATGTGTTCGGTTCTGCTTTAATTTTCGGCCTCTTTATTTTTCTTGTTCAGATTTTTTTATTGTTTGAAGTCCTGTGACATTACAATATTTTCTCTGGGATTGAGGGTATTTGGTTGAATATTTGATCAAACATCGACTTGTTGACGATATGAAATATGCCTAAATCGACTATCTCTTGTTCTGGAGTTTTTGTTATTTTTTATTTTTATTTAGCAATGGACGGGCGTCCTCTAAATCAGGACGCCCGTCCGTAGTAAATGGACCCCGTCCATATAATATGGACGGGGGTCCATATGAGTGAACGGCCGTCCATATGTTATGGACGGCCGTTCATTAGATCAAATTTAATAACGCCAAAACACGTTGGATGGTTGAGTCAGCACACACGTCAGCCGGTACAAAATTTCGGTGTAAAAACACCGGTGTCTGTAGCATTGCTGTTCCTTGCAATAGGCGGGGAGTACTATAGATAATGGGGTCTATTTGGTACATTATGTAAAACAATATTTCGTTCTGAATATAATATGATATGATTTAATCAAATAGGATATGATTCTGAAAATGTGTTTGGTATTTTTTGGAAAAAAATTTCTAAAAAAATTTAGATTATTTTTTAACCTCCAACATTTGTTAATTTACTTAAACACCTTCCGCAATAGAAGTTTATAAATTAATAAAAACACCCCCACCCACCCAATCAATTGTCAGCAGTCGTCCACCACCGTCGGACAATGGTCGATAGTCATTGGAATGGCGCACGACTAGTTGGATCTGACCAGTCGTGCGTCGATCTGACATTTTTCGACCAGATCCACCTATATTTGGCTAGAAATAGTTAGATTTATGGCCATAATCTGGCCATCGTCAACAACCAGATAGATCTAGTCGTTAACGGCTAGATCCCTGGTCGTAGGTTTGGCCGTTTCCTACCAGATTCATGGTGATGGTTGTTTCGGCGCTGGCATTTGGCAATAGTTGTTGGCAGACGACTATTGCTTGGGTAAATGGAGGTGTTTTTGTTAATTTATAAATTTTTATTAAGAAAGGTAATTGTTAAATATTTCGAGTTGAATAAAATATAATTTGATTTTGAATTGAATAGTCAATATTAAAACAAACCATTTCTTTACTTTTTAAGATAAGATAATAAAATAGAATAAAATTAAAAAAGTTAAATCAATGTGAGCCCAATCACTTCAGCACACCCAAACAAAAATGGTACAATTTTCTTCCACTCATGTCGTGTACTCGTGTTTGCCAAATTAATTGAAATAAACCTTGTATTTTATGCCTAGTTAGTAAATACGGGTACGGCAAAAAAACGGTATGGGAATTTTACGGGTATAATACGGCAAACGGTGAAAAATACGTTTATAAAAATTCAGCCATAAAATTCGGATACAGAAAAAATACGGTACGGGTATATACGGGTTTAATACGGTGCATTGTCAATAATACGTTTTGAAAAATACGGCAATATCAATCTTAGTTTTAACATTTTTATGGACTACCTGGTTAAAATCAATATAACATTTCAAATGCAAAGTATTCAATTAACCAATAACACAAATACACAATATATAAATATAACTGATATTCAAATTATAGTCTCTAGACTCAAACACAATCATAATAAAACCAATTGTTTATAAAAATTACAAATACACCCTACAGTCAGTTTACAAAAATTACAAATGTATCAAGTAAAAGTTAAAACTTAAAAGTATATATTTTATTAAATTTTCTCTCTCCTTTCTCTTCTCTTTCATTTTCTCGTTCTTTTCAAAACTTTCTTCTCTCTTTCTTCTGTAAGTTTCTTCTCTTCTTTCTCTTTCTTTGTTCCACCTTCTCTTCAGTCTTCACTTTCTTCTTAAAAGTTAAACTTCGGCTCTCTTGTATAAAGTATAAACTTATGTCTATACAAAAGAGACGAAGGTTGTGGAAATTGATTATTTGCTGGAGTTGATTGTTGTGTGTTGATTGTGGGAGTTGATTGATTGCTTGTGGAAATTTGTGAGGAAGAAAAGCTGAAGAAGAACTGAGGAAGAAGAAGAATTGCTGCTGAACTGCCGAAGAATTGAAGAAGAACGACTGAACCAGTGAACCAGATCTATTTTAATTTTTTGTATAAACCCACCAAAACGACGTCGTTTTGGGGGTGTGAGATTATGTTTTTTTTTCTTCAAAAATTCGCGAATTATACGCGAATTATACGGTACACCTTATTATACGTGAATTATACGGCAGATTTTACAAAATTCGGATACGTGCGTTTTATACTTGAATTATACAGCTGTCCGTATAATTCGCGTATAATACGCGTTTTTACTAACTAGGATTCTATGGACACATTCACCGAATTTGCCATATAATTCGTGTATAATACGTGTTTTTACTAACTAGGATTCTATGGACACATTCACCGAATTTGATTTCATTGAATTGATGTTGGTGACATGGCGATCTCGCGGAATAATCTGTGTGGTTGAATAGTGTAATCAGGCCAACCGTCACATTGGCCGTAAATGCATCTTATCAAAATTTCTGTGGCTGCAAAATCCTCCCAGCGGTTTCAATATCTCTTTCTTTTTCACTCTTGCCTGCTTTAATATCTCTTTCCTGTTCAATTTTTGTCTTCTATAATCTTTGCAAAGAGAAAACGTGATACACAAATAAAATATTGTTTTATAAAGATAAAATTTTGAGGGCCAACTAATGTGTTAAACATTCATCTTGTGACAGAATTGGATTGTTGTGCGTGCATATTTACTAGAGAGACGTTTTTATTTGAGTCAAGAATTATTTGTTCCTATATGTGTAAAAAATCTTTCCTTCTGGTTCCTATAAATAGGGCTGAAGAAGAAGGAAAGGGTACAGGAGATAGAGGCATGGCTTGTGAAAAAAGCAAGATATTGATAATTGGAGCAACTGGGTATCTTGGGAAATACATGGTGAATGCCAGCGTTTCTATGGGCCATTCAACCTTTGCCTTTGTTCGTCCTCTCAAGCCGAATGCTCATCCTTCCAAGCTACAAATTCACCAAGAATTCCAATCCATGGGAGTCACTCTATTCCAAGTATTTCTATGTTTATTATTAAATAATACATATAAATCTTTATCCATTTATTCAAGACAATGCATTAGTTTAAAAGTTATTGACTTATAACTATATCTAATTTCTCTTTTCAATCATTGGATTTGTATTAAAATTTGTGAACTTAACCATTCATATAAACTGACATTTAATTGATTTCTTATTATAATATTATCACTTTATACCATAACAGTTATGTTATATAAAATTTATCTTAAATAATATGTACCTATATATGAAGAATTTTGTAGTACAAGGGCTGAGTGTATTTGAAATTCTTTTCTTAAATGTAAATATGTCAGATCAAAATATTTTATGGCTGTTTTTGTACTTTAAACAAAGTCATTGTAATTTTTTTTTTTTTTTTTTTTTGGGAGTTTTGAGAAGTTTACACAGAAAATGAGATAACTTCAAATTATAATAATTAAATAAAATTTATGAAAATACCTTACTGGAAATATTTAAACCTCTTGATACTTTAAAGATGTTTTTTGACAATAACTACATATTTCTTTATTTTCTTTTCTCTTATCTTTCTCTCCCACCTTTCACCTTTGTTATCCAGGAAAACTTGAGGGTGGTTGTTGGAATTACCCAATAAAAGAATTTTCCTTATTTATTTTGATTAGTCTATTTATATGTTTCTTCTAAAAAAAAAACACTACCGAGCTCAATAACTTCAATTCATGCATGCATAAACAGGGAGAGATTGATGAGCATGAGAAATTAGTTTCAGTGCTTCGACAAGTAGATGTTGTGATTTCTACTCTTGCAATTCCTCAACATCTTCAACAACTCAAATTAATTTCTGCAATAAAAAAAGCTGGCAACATAAAGGTGCATGTTTTTCCTCGATAGTCTTTCATTTTATAATGCATTGCATCAAGGCACATAGAGGAAAATTGAGAGCCAAATTTCTCTCAAAGTTGAATAAAAGAATTCATACCGATACCTACGTATGAGACAGTACAATTCTTTGTTAATTAAAAATATAATTATTTTATCATATGTAGAGATTTGTTCCATCGGAATATGGTAATGAAGTTGACAGGGTAAGCGCACTCCCTCCTTTTGAAGCTGTGCTTGAAAACAAGAGGAAAATTAGAAGGGCAACCGAAGAAGCTGGAATATCATATACTTATGTCTCCGCAAACTCATTTGCAACTTATTTTGTCCATTATCTTCTCCATCCAAACGAGCAACGCAATGAAGTTATAGTTTATGGAAGTGGTTTAATTAAGGGTAAGTAAGTTATTCTATTTTATATAACAATTCTCTCATGAAAGCTCTCGAGAAGTAACACGATATCTTAAAAACAAAAAAAAACAAAAAAATAGAATATTTACTTTCATTCATTAACATCCATATTAAAATGTGTTGAAAACAGCTGTGTTGAATTATGAGGAAGATGTTGCAGCCTATACAGTCAAAGCAGCAACAGATCCAAGGGTTGCCAATCGTATAATAATCTACAGGCCCCCAGGGAACATTGTATCACAATTAGATTTAATTTCTGCTTGGGAGAAGAAAACCGGAAGAAATTTGAAGAAGATTCATGTTGCTGAGGAAGAAATCATAAAACTTTCTGAGGGTAAGTTTCCTAATTGAACTAATTTATCTTAAACTAATAATATTATTATTATTTGAAACATCTATATAATAATTATGAATCTAATTTTTTTTTTTTTTTTTTTTTTTAAGTGTAGTCACACCACCACCGGGGAATGTCCCTCTTGCAATTTTGCACAACATATTTATCAAAGGTGATCAAATGAGTTTTGAACTAACTTCAGAGGATTTGGAGGCCTCCCAGCTATACCCTGAATACAAGTACACTTCAGTTGATGAACTTCTGGACATTTGCTTGCTTAAACCCACGAAGGTCAAATTGGCTACATTTTAAGGTTGCGTTTGGTTAGGGCTCCTGAAAGATTACACTGGTAATCTATCTTTTAATAAGGCCATTGTCTTGTTTAGTTGAGCAGGTAATAAAAGATTCCGATAATCTTTTATTAATCAAGTAATATGAGAGGTGATACAGGAGTTATGTGATTACCTACTCAAAATGTGATATTTTAATATTATTGTGGTAATCTTGGCTCTGTTTGGCTTATTATTTCTACCCATATTCTCAATCCTATTCTCAAAATACTTATTTGGCTTGTTATTTGACAAATATTAGTATATTTTTTAATTACTTTTAGTCCCCTTAAGTTTATTAATTTCATAAATACCCCCAGAAAAAAGTTTAAAAATTAACAAAAACACTCCCACCCACCCATACTTTCTAGATTCTGACAACCACTGTCAGTGGTAGCCGGAATTTGTCAGAACGGCCTACAAACGATCGGAACTGACCGATAATTCACCGATCTGGCCTTTTACCTCGTAATACTCCCCCATTCAACTACCTAATATTATTCCCAAAATCCTATCCAAAATAATAAAACAAACAGAACCATTATTCTTTAGCGGATCTGCCAGGTATTATTTTGGGTTCGTTTGTTTTATTATTTTGGATAGGATTTTGGGAATAATATTGGGTAGTTGAACAGGAGAATATTACGAGGTAAATTTTAAAAATTTATAAAAAGACCCCTAGGTTTGCTAATTTAACTAAACACCCCAATATATAAAAATTTTGTAAAATGACAAAAATGCCCCCACCCACCCACAGTGCCAGATTCCGGCCACCATCGTCGGAATCTGGCTGAAAAATAGCGTTACGACGTAGACCAGTTGGATCTGGCGGGTAGAGCGTCGATATGGCATTTTCTGCGGCCAGATCCACCACGGATCTGGCCAGAAAAGGTCAGATCTACTGCCAGATCTGGCCCTCGACGGCCGCAAAAGTCAAGATCTGGCCGTCGCTAAAGGCCAGGTCAGTGAATTACTGGCCAGTTCTGATCATTTGTAGGCCATTCTAATAGATTCCGGCTACCACTAATAGTTGTTGTCAGAATCTGGCAAGTATGGGTGGGTGGGGGTGTTTTTGTTAATTTTTAAACTTTTTTTCTAGGGTATTTATGAAATTAATAAACTTAAGGGGTCTAAAAGTAATTAAAAAATACTAATATTTCTCAAATAACCAGCCAAACAAGTATTTTGGGAATATAGGTAGAAATAATAAGCCAAACGGAGCCCTTATTTTTCTTCCAATTTTACCCTTACTTAATAAAAATTCTAGACACAAATGCCCTTTTATTGATGTCAAATAACAATTAACCTAACCTGTTGAATGATTTCTTTAACCTCATTAATTAATTAATTATATAAATAATCTTATAAAAAGTATTTCAATAAAATAATATTTAAGTATTTTATAATTACTATCAACCAAACACATTAATTATTTATACAATCCATACAAACCAAACACAATAATAATTTATATCTGTTTATCTTTTAAGTTTATTTATCTTATTGGTACTCTTATCTTTTTTAATAATAAAATATTGTAAAAAACAAAGGCACCTAAAATGTTTGCAAATAATATCCATCAATCAGTAGTACCGCTACGCTATTTATATGCACAAAGTGGAGCCCGTCTTGACTTTGACTCGAGAGCATAATATCTCTGGTTTAGCATTGATGATATAATTGTGGTATATCTTCCAAGTCCAAGTTTTTGTGATGAATAAAGATAAAAAGACATCCTTCTTTGTGTTTTGAATTTTTACGATGGAGAAACTGCTCAATATCTTTTAACATAGAACTAGGTTGACGGTGCGCAATTTGTAATGCCGCAACGCACATCCTTTTTCATATCAAATGCAAACCTGAGACATCATTGCCACGACACAAGATGCTGAATGCCTTGGCGTGCCTCTGTCTCAAACTCGTGGGCACAAGTGCAAGCTGACTAGACTTGACTCGGCATGGCCATGTGAACCAGTGATACTTCAAACGTCATAATTTTCTCGTTTCAACTCCGATTCAAAACTGTTCGTTTCCAGTTGTTACAAATTTTCTCACCAACATCATTTTTCATCCACATGTTATTTTCAAGCACTTATGACCTGAAAATTTGTCAAACATATCCGTAATTTCAAAAAAACACATTTATAAAACAATTAAGTCAAATTATACAAATTAAACCAAATTTCCCACAAATCATTTACGGGATATACCACAATCTACGGGATTTTATTTCACCTCTCCATGCCTCCTTTGTGGAAGGAATAAGACACACATAAATATTCAAGTCATTTGCTTTTGATTATTGTATCAGAGCAATGATTCTTGGCCCCATTCTTTTTGCTCATTGCAGCAAAGCCATTTGATATAGCAAAGTCATTCGTTTATTTTTCTTGCTCATTTTAGCTAAGTTAGCCCCAAGTTTGTTCATTCTTACAAACACAAAAGAAAATTCTTTTTATCTTTTCCATTACACGATGGCAGATAAACAATCCAAATCATATAAGCAATCAATGTCAAAAAAACAAAAGACCAACCGTTCCCATGAAAATCCAAATCTTCCAATGTTTCTCCATCATTTTGATAATCCAGGAGTAGTGTTCGTTACTTAGCCTCTAATCGAAGATAACTGTAGTGCTTGGAGTCATTTATGATAATGGCATTGAGTGCGAAGAACTTGATCAAGTTTATTGATGGGTTAATACATTACAACAAAAAGAGCTTTTAGCTACGATTTTGTTAGCAACGATTTCAAAATTCATCGCTAAAGGTAACTATTAGCGACGAAATATGAAATTGGTTGCCAACAGTTTCACGGACTTTCTAATCCTCGCACGAGATGGCGGAAAGCAAATTGGCGATGGACTTAGCGACGACATAATTCATCATACAATGTTTTTGTCGTCAAACATAAAAAAAGTGACACTCAAGTTGTTTTGCAACGTAATTATATGTCGCCGTGGATACTTTTAAGACAAAAATAATACAAAACGTAGTCAAAAGTATTTAGCAATGCAAATGCACGATGCCATACAATGTTTTTGGTGACGAAAATATATAAAGCAATGCCAACAAAGTTTAGCTACACAACAAAAGTCCCATCCTAACAACTTTTCAGTGACGAAAATATAAAAATTGACGCAAAATCCATTTGGCTATACAACAAATTGTGCGTCAGTAAACATTTTTTGCGACAAAAATATAAACAATGACGCAAAATCATTCTAGCTATGCAATAAATTGTCCGTTGCGAAACGTTTTTGTTGACAAAAATATAAAAAAAATGATGCAAAATCCATCTGTTACGCAACAAATTGTTCGTTGGGAACTTTTTGGTGACAAAAATATAAAAAACGACACAAAATTCATCTGGCTACGCAACAAATTGTTCATTGGGAAACGTTTTTGGCGACACAAATATAAAAAACAACGCCAAAAACGTATTGCAATGCAATCTATGTTTTGTCGTGAAAACATTTTTTTGTCAATTTTCTTAAAATCATTGCCATTAGTATGTTAGAATTTAATTTTTAATATAATTTTATATTTATATGACAATAACTGAAAGTGTAAAACCAATCAGTAATTAATAAAAGAAATCAAAATTATTATTATTATTTATTTTGTAAATACGAAAAGCACCATAGGGTAAATTGTTTTTTAGGTTTCCACTGTTGGTAGCTTAAGTTTGGTACTTGTTTGTTGCTGTTTAGAGTCATTATTATTTATTATTGTTATTATTATTAGGTTAGTCGTTAGTGTTAGTATTATTTTTTTATAATAAATTTATAATATTATTTAATATTTATATTTAAATGTTAAATTTAGTGCATTAAATTAATAATATTTATTAATATTAAAGCAAACAAATTAAAATTAATGCACAAAGAAAAATCACATCACAATTATGGAAATTAAATTTGGATGACAATAATAAATATTATTAATTCTCAATATCATCTTCAACTTACACATCTTCACTTTCAGTGGTACAATTTTCATCACTCATCTCATTTTCAATATCATCATTTATGAAACTGGTATCATCATCACTAAATCTACTACTTGGCTCCACAAATTGAACAACCTCTGGTTCCACTTCTACCCTATGAAGTTCTTCTTATTCATTAACTTCTGCATCAATATGGAAACTAAATTCATTTGAATTATTGGCTTGATATGCATCATGCATTGTTGATTGATCTTCTTCAATTTTATCGGGAATGTCATACAAATGCCTATGTTGCACCTTCTGTATAACTTTCCAATTGGCCCCTAACTTAGGATCATCAATGTAGAAAACTTGTTTAGCTTGATATGCTAACACATAAGGATCATCGGCATATTATTTGTGACTCACATTGATGCTTGTAAAGTGAAAATCCCTTTGCACCCATTTCTTTTTACGGTCAGTGTCCAACCAAGTGTATTTAAACAAAATCACACTTCTGTCATAAATATGATTCACTTCAATAACTGAATCAAGAATTCCATAAAATTCCATCCTCTCACCACTACCACCACCATTGTCATCATCTTCAAGTTCCTCATACACTAAAACATCACTATTTTGGGTTGTGAGTCGATCCTCACGATCTTTCACAGTGAATCGTACTCCATCAACAATATAAGCAGTATATTTAGACACTCATTCATTAGGCTTACACGCTAATGAATACAAATCATCAGTAGCCTCAACTGCTCCTTGAGAACGTAACACTTTCATCTACCAAAAAAAAAAAAAATGATTAAAATATATGATCAATATAAAAGTTGAAAACCACAAAAAAAAAAAAAAAAAAAAAGTAATAAGACTCCAAAATGTTTGACGACTTACCCGATGTTCAAGCTAATTAGGAAACAATTTTTTGTTGCTTTTTCAATATTTCCATCTCTGAAATATTAGTGCCTTCACTTTCTTTAATTCAAGCATGTGCTCACTAAACATTTTTTCATAAGATACAACAAAAGATTAAACAAAGTTAAAACATATCATATAAAATGACAAAATAAAAACCTCACAAAAACAAAAAAATTCATAAGGTTGGCAAAATATCACTTACTCTAAATAATCAAGCAATTCCACACAATTATTAGGAATATACCAATGTATTTTATCAATTTATGCTTGTGGTAACTGCATCAGTTGCCTCCCACCATATGGACTAACTCTATGCTTGAAATAGATGCATCACCAACTTTGTC